GGTTCCCTCTTTTCCAAGAAAAAATGAAATAAATTAAACCAAATGTCCGCCTTAATACAACCTTACTTTAACAAAATGTCTCTAAATGAATAGCAATTCAATCATACAATTTAAATCCCAAAGCATCGGATATTCAACTAGTTTTTAAAATCCGTCGATCCCAAAACCACAAGAACCGGTGCCAAAGACCTCACTCCTCAAAAGCAGCCTTCATCTCAAGCTTCCTCTCCTCAAACTCGAACTTCTTCAAAGGCACATATAGATCCAGTTACTATGCCTATTGAGCGTCATCAAACAATGCATCAATATGAAGGCTTGCCCTCCACCGTTTGGTATGACGTTCACGCCCACCCAGACTAGACAATGATGTGATCAACAAATTGCAACGTTGAGGAAATCATTTAAAGGACCAAACCGTAGAGTAACAAGAAGCAAAACTTACGAGCTCTACGAGTGATACATTCATTATCCACCTTCTTTGCACTGTGCATGCACACTGCAATACTTGCTGATGGCCTTTTGAATGGTGTAACATCTATGGAGTAGCGACTTTGAATCGCGATCATGGATCACTTCAATGTTGTAGGGCGCGTAGTGCTTTTGTTTGTTAAACCAAACATGCACACTTTTCCAAAATGCCGCATTCCGCCTCATGCCTTGAAACTCTGCACTTATGGCCAACCAGCCTCACACACAACAATGCATCCTCCTTCACCAAGTACACGGTCATCATATTTCCTTCAACGACAACAATGACAATGCCAAAATATTCTGCTATGGCGTCGAATACTTGTTGGGTATGGTATCCACCATGGGCGGCGTCGGCATGGGAAGATCCTAGGCGCTGATGGGATCCGGGGTGGAATGGCGGTGTAGGCCTAGGCGGGCAGGCGGCTGGGTAGAGGGACAGAGGTTTGGCAAGGCCAAGGCGGTGGCCGAAGTGGTGCAATGGTTGTGGCGGTCTCCGAGGGTGCAGATACAGAGCACCGGGGGGTGGGGGGGGACGAAGTGGGGACAAAAGGGTATTTGGATAGGCCGGTGGTGTCGGAGCCCAACATGGCGGATGTTGGGACTTCCCCAAACCTCCCCAGTTTGGTTCCAATTCATGAAAATTCGAACACCTGGCCTGGTCTGGAGAATTTTGATGACCCCGTTTGATGGCAAAATAATGAAAGGTCCGGCAGGCGATTTGGTGATCCAGGTTGGAGATACCCTGAGTGGGACTTTATTAAGCTAGAAAATTGCTTCACACCAATAGATATTTAAGACATATGAGTAGTATAAAGAAGATTCCACTGTGAACGCGACACCAAGAGGATTTATGTTCATGGCATTACGAGCACACTGGGATATCGGCTTCTAGTACATACCCAGAAACAAAGAGGATTGCCTTGACGGCATCTGGTTGCGGCGACGACGGATGATCCATGAGGGATGAGCAGTTTAAAAGTGTCGTCCCCTACTCCCATCTTAATTACTATAGTGCTCCATTCGAACAAATTTTGTGGCCTCCAGTGATATTTACTGTTACAATAAAATCTTTGCTGAAGAAAAATGATGGTTCAAGTTAAACAATGTTGAACGCTACCGCTTCTTTGAGAAATTTCAGGGAACGATGCTGAAGCCTCAACTTATGTCTAATGGCCCTTCTTTAGTAGACAATCCCCTTAGCGTAAGTCAATTAATTAGTTCCAACAAGATCCGATTTCTCAAAAAAAAAAAAAGTTCCACCAAGATCCTGGATTTGCCCTCCGCATTAGTTACCTACTAAAAAAAAGAGCTAAATGCATCAGTAGGACATTTGCTTCTTGTTTAATTCATCTTGTCGAACGAAATTCCAACAAAGCTTCGGTCGACCACATCGGATGTTGATGTACACTTTCAGAGAACTGTTGCTTCTTACGGAACAAGAGGAACCAACATTTCTGTGATCAAATCATGGAGCAAAATGATGTCCCCAGCTGCCACAGCGGTATCTCGATGCTGGCAAAACCGACTGCCTACGTCAGTAAATCAGTTCGGAATGGACAGTTTCAAAGGTGAGCTCCACAGCTGCAACATCGGGAAACCCTACTTAGATCCAGTGGACTCTGCATTAAGCATCAGCAAGTGGGCCGCCTACTGCCGGTTCACCGTTTCAGTTCCATCCTCTTTCGATATTTCAGCACCATCACCAGGATCAGGCTCTTTGTGATACTTCCACACGCATGCCATTCTGTTATATATGGCCATCACCTTGACATTTGCCTGAAAAAGATCTTGCTTGGCCATCATCATCTGGATCCAGTTTCAACTTCTGTGCCTTGTACACTAATTACATCTCTCTTTCGTAGATGTAACAACTCTGTCATGGGAAGTCTGGCACGGGCACCATCAGCATCAGGTTCTGAACAAACTCATGTTCAAGTATTTTGCAGCATGACCTCTTGACTTGGTCTAGTCCAAGGAAGCAGCTTCCTCATTCAATTGAACAGATAATAAATGTATCTTGAGAATTGCAGAAAATGAGACTGAAGAGATAACAACCAAACAGGAAATGAGAAGTACATCTAGAAAACCGGCTTATTAAGAGCAAAAAAGTTGGCATCATGGTCACACTGCCTGAAATAAATAAAAAAGATACGGATGATGACATATATAAAAGGCCGTAATTATAGCGAAAAAGATGATGTGCAGAAGAAATTTCTACCTTATGAGAAAAATAATTAACATTGCAAGTTCATGAAGTAGAGGAGATTTATTGATACTTTATTTTTTAACTCATCAGTTTGTATGCAAAGGGATGTCCTCTATATTTACATAAATCGGAAATTTATGCACTCAACCTATTCCTTATTGAAGCAAATTCTGTTGGAGATCATATCTGGAAGGAGTATTTATATATATGGGATACTACAGTCACCTTACTGAAGCCTAGGGTACACTTCGGACTAACATAGACATATCCAACTGGTATCATTTCAGCTAGGATTCCAACTCACAACCTATGCCGAAGACACTTCACAAACAAACTTGCAGCATGAAGATTGTTACCTTGTTGGTGATCGTAGCTATGCTAGGGTCACAGGAAAATATGCTAGGGTCGGTTCAGCTGGCACCCCACAAAGGACAAACACAACATTGAAATCCAAGATGCCATGATTGGCTCAACAAGGATCGTACAAATCGCACAGAAATATGAAAATATCGGGCGATTATACAGCGGATGAGGTGCGGAAACTGCTGCAGTTTAATTAGGTACAATTTGAAAACAATTATTTAACACATAGCTAGCATCTTGTCTAAGTATGCCAATAGTAACCTATTCCTGCACTGCTACTAGAAGTTCTGAAGTTCCCATCCCGGCTTCTGAAAAGAACAAACCATACACATATTTCTATCTCTGCCATATTTTGCTACCATGACTATTTACCATATAAAATAGGCGTTAAAACACCTAAATAAGGGACATCTAATTAGCAACTGCAAGCTTGCCTTCCTTTATTCCTTCCTCTCCACAATACAACTTTAAGAAAATTGCTGAAATTAACAAAGATTACTAATATCGACTACAAACTATTATTACATTAAAGTTGGAGCACCAGATTGTTCCGTTACAGCTGCAAGCAATCTTGGCATTGGGGGCACATCAATCTCCTGTTGACCCTCGAGAACCCGGACCACTTCACCCATTGTCCGCCGATCCAACTCATTATCTTGGATGCACCAACCTGCAACTTTGCAAACCCTTTCAGCCTCTTCCAAGTTGAAGTCACCATGTAACTGTGGATCCACCAAACTCTTCAAATCTCCGCCGTGAAGCTTGCTGATGGCTTGAACAGGGAAATATATAACATTCTGGTTACTGCTGCTGCTAGTGTTGTATGATTCTTCAGGCGAGGAATTCCTCCTTCCAGATATGACTTCCAACAGAACCATGCCGAAGCCGTAAACGTCAACTTTCGGTGTGATTGCCACTCCGGTAAGCCACTCTGGGGCAAGATAACCTGCAGTTCCTCTGAATGAAGTCAGAATTCTGCTGAAATCCCTTCCCACAAATGCTGCCAGCCCAAAGTCTGCAACTTTAGGAACAAATGATGCATCCAGAAGTATGTTCTCCGGCTTAATATCGCAGTGTATGATGCACTCACGACAACTCTGATGCAAGTATGATAATCCTCTAGCAACTCCTAGGGTTATCTGATACCTGGTGTTCCAACTTAGGACGGCAGCATCAACATTGCTCTTCTTAAACAGATGACGATCAAGAGACCCATTAAACATGTGTTCATACACAAGTAATCTTTGGTTGCCTTCGCAGCAGAAACCAATCAATTTGACTAGGTTTATGTGCTGGATCAATCCAATTGAGCTCACCTCGGCCCTGAATTGCTTCTCTCCTTGACGGTCACCATCAAGCTTTTTCACTGCTATAGTAATCGTCGAGTCACTTAACATTCCCTTGTATACAGAACCAAAACCACCACCTCCAAGCTTTTCTGAGAAGTTTTTAGTGGCACTAACTAAGTCAGTGTATCTGAAGGCTATAATTCCACCAGCACTACCTTGATTGCCGTATAAAGGCAAACCACACCACTTGAATTTTTTCCTCCAAATCAGTAACAACAGCATGAGCATCAGTAACCCAAAACCAATAATACTTGCAGCAGTAACAACTCCGACGTTTGGTTTGCTTTTGTTTTTTCTGGAACTTGGCAGCAAACCTTTGGCGGCAAGGCGAAGGTAAAGAACATCTTCAAAATTATTATCAATGCCATCATTCAGATTTACACTAAACAATTCCCCGTGCCAGACAGAGCATCTGCTATTGCTATAGGAATAAGCAGTGCAGGAGCAGGAACCGAGACATGCTTCTTCACATTTGCTTGCGGGTTGTATGGCAATTGAATTTGAGCAATGGGGTGGAACACGTCTGATGAATTTGTCATGTTTTTGTTGTTACCACTAGTGCTGCAATGTAACGGTGTGTTTCTGATGCATCCTGCTGTTCGATCCTCAAACTCCCAATCCTGTGGTGACTTATGGGAGAAGCTCTCCATACAGTCACAAGATGGATGTGCAATACCGTTGCAGACCGTGAAAGGTCCGCATGTAGCAGGCGGAATGCAAGGATCTGCATGCTCGGAATATATGGTTTGCCAAGACTGGTTGGCTTGTGACCAAATATTCAGCTTGACCTGACCAGAGATGTCTAGCAAGACAAACATGGAAGTTGATGTTTCATCCAGTAAAGTGTACGTGTAGTACTCCTCTTGGTTGTTATCCACATATATTGGATTAATCAAACCTTTGGTCCGAGGATTCAAATCTAGTAATGACTTGAGTATTGGTATCAAAGATGATGATCCCGTGGTTGCATAAGTCAGATACTTTACCAGGGGGTTGTTGCGACGCATGAGGACAATCCCGCTGGTGTCTTTTAGTTCAATGTTGTATGAGCCAAAACCCGGATCAATGCGACTCTTTTTTTACCGAAAAAGGCTTTCGCCCCGCTTTATAAATAAAGCAAACCGCCACAAGACATACAACCACAACAGGTCCACACACACACACCACCCAAGTACCACAACAAAGTATTAAGGTTCTGCTGAGGGCACAGCTCAACAAACCCAGAAGAAAGAGAAAAAACAAAGCCTGCCCAGTGCAGGCGATCTAGTCAGGCTCCGGCGGAGGCGGCGGCGGCGGGGGCGACAGGCGGACGGCCATCGAGCGGAGATCGGCGATGAAGGCAGAGATGGCGCCCCGATCCAGGGGGCGGCTAAGCGGCCGCCAAAGCTGCAAGAAACCCGAGAATTTGTAGAGAGCATCAGTAGCGCGACGAAGAGGAGTACGTTGGATCACTAGCTTATTGCGAATGGTCCAAAGCGTCCAGGCAAGGACCCCAACCTCGAGCCACCTAATGTGGCGAGAGGACGAAGGGGACAATTGGAGTTCAGCAAATAAGTCTGGGAAATTGGTGTGGCACCAACTCCCACCGACAATCTCGCGAAAGCAGCTCCAGAGGAAACGGGCGGAGACGCAGGCGAAGAAGATGTGGTTGGAGTCCTCGGGAACAGCACAGAGGGGGCAAATACCAGTGCCCGGGCCATTACGCTTGCGGACCTCCACACCGGACGGGATCCGTCCACGGATCCACTGCCACATGAAGATGCGAATCTTCAGGGGGACGCGGACGGACCACACCATCGATAGGGGGAGGGGGCGGAGGAGGGGGCAATGGCCAAGTATAGCGATTTGGTAGAGAACTGGCCCGACGGCTCCAGGTGCCAGCGCACAAGATCCTGATCCCCATCCACCACCGGCTCATGCAGAGCAACACAGTCAAGCAACTCACGCCAGGCGGCGGATTCCGCCGGCCCAAATGGCCGACGGAAAGCGAGGCGCCCTAAGTCAAGAAGGGCCCTATCAACAGAGATCATGGGGACGACAGCGATAGAGAAGAGGGTGGGGAAGCGGGCCGCAAAGGGAGAGTCGCCGGCCCAGCGATCAAACCAGAAGAGCGTCGAGAGGCCGGACCCCACCGAGATAGAGGTACCAATGCGGAGCACCGGAAGAAGCTGGACGAGGGACTGCCAGAACTGAGAACCTCCCGATTTCTGGCAGAAGGCAAGGGGTTGACCACGCAGGTACTTATTCCGGATAATGCGACTCTTTTTTGATATATACTGGTGACTGGAACCAGTGACCTTGTTCCGGCCCAACTTGGCGCCAGGAAGCGTGATATCTGTTGGGTAGTCAAAGCTCTGCCACAACATCTCTTGGCTATTTACGAGTAGGGCAAGGTTTCTACTGTTCAAGAGAACAACGGAGCTAGAGGTGGTGGTGTTTATGCTACTGGTTTTCCTATTGACAATGTGAGTGGACCAAACAACGGATTCAGTTTTGGCGGCATGGTTTACGATGACAAGATTGCCATCGCTTAATATCTTGAGCTGTGTTAGGTTGACACTAGGGTTGGTGATGGCCTGATGGGCTGATCCCTATTAGCAACCCACACGATAGTGAAAACTGGGATCTTGTTGAACCATATGCCAAGGTACCACCTGGAGCTGGGGGAGGTGGCATTGTAGGATGACTTACCGATGTTGCTTGCTGCTGACTGGAAGAAGCCGAGGGCGAACTTGCCGTTTCTTGAGACGAGCTTGCCACCGACGGCGAGCGCTTGGCCTGCCGTGAGAGAGTCTTCATATGCAGCTGCAGAGAAGCACCAAAGAGGAGTGTACAAGAGGAGAAGCCCGAGTAGTATGTAGAGGGGAGGCATGCTGAAGAAGAGTGAATAATTTAGAGAGGAAGGCCAAGTGTTCAGCTGGCTGAAGCTGACGGGGAAGTCCACTTGGGGTCAATTAAGTTCACATTTGGACAGAATTGCCATAAAAACAATGCAGTGCTATCATAATTGTAAGGCAGGACTTTCAATGGACCATGGTCAGGTCAATCATGAGGCCTCCATCAAGCTCACTGTTCACCAATCAGTGAGCTTCAAACCAGAAATTATACCTCACATATTAGAGGGATATCTTCGAATAAAACCTTTCTAAAACCACAAAATATTTGCTTCAATGCATGGTCCAGCATTAAAAATGCAAATTCAAGGCATATCAACAACAAAAGGTCCCTCCCTGAAAAAGCGCCACCGCAGAAATACAACAATGTTGAGCTGAACTCTGCAAACTTAAAACACAAAAAAGAGAGCTCGAGAAAGAGCCCTGGTGCCTTGTGGGCAGCAGGTGGTCCCCCTCCAGTGGGTTTTTGCTCCAGTATTTTTTATTTATTTCATAAAAAATCTCTAAGAAGTTCCGTCCAATTATGAGAATTTTTATTTTTGCACAAAAAACAATATCATGGTAATTCTGTTGAAAACAATGTCAGTCCAGGTTAGGTTCATTCAAATGCAAATTAGAGTTCAAAATAAGAGCAAAAGCGTTTGGAAAAATAGATACGACGGAAGCGTATCAGTATGCTGGCCCATAACTTACTAACTACTCCACTTAATCTTTTGGACTTAATTTCATATGATTGTCCAGTGGTTCTCATATTTACTAGTTACATGTTGTTGTGAGATGATTAATGTGTCGTATGGCTTTGTAGTTGAATGCCTCACCAACTAGTCACGACATATCTTACCTAAAATATTCTACAAAAAGGTACTAAATGGCACAAGATACATTTTGTCCTGCACGATGGCATATCATTTACTCATAGGCAAGGGAAGAATTGAAAAATTGCTAGTAGGGTGGAAAATGATCAAGGGTATGAAGGAAATATGCCCTAGAGGCAATAATAAAGTTATTATTTATTTCCTTACATCATGATAAATGTTCATTATTCATGTTAGAATTGTATTAACCGGAAACATGATACATGTGTAAATTCATAGACAAACTGAGTGTCACTAGTATGCCTCTACTTGACTAGCTCATTAATCAAAGATGGCTATGTTTCCTAGCCATGGACAAAGAGTTGTAATTTGATTAACGGGATCACATCATTAGGAGAATGATGTGATTGACTTGACCCATTCCGTCAGCTTAGCACTTGATCGTTTAGTATGTTGCTACTGCTTTCTTCATGACTTATACATGTTCCTGTGACTATGAGATTATGCAACTCCCGTTTACCGGAGGAACACTTTGTGTGCTACCAAACGTCACAACATAACTGGGTGATTATAAAGATGCTCTACAGGTGTCTCCAAAGGTACTTGTTGGGTTGGCGTATTTCGAGATTATGATTTGTCACTTTGATTGTCGGAGAGATATCTTTGGGCCCACTCGGTAATGCACATCACTATAAGCCTTGCAAGTATTGCAACTAATTAGTTAGTTGCAGGATGATGTATTACGGAACGAGTAAAGAGACTTGCCGGTAACGAGATTGAACTAGGTATTGAGATACCGACGATCGAATCTCGGGCAAGTAACATAGCGATGACAAAGGGAACAACGTATGTTGTTATGCGGTTTGACCGATAAAGATCTTCGTAGAATATGCGGGAGCCAATATGAGCATACAGGTTCCGCTATTGGTTATTGACCGGAAACATGTTTCGGTCATGTCTACATTGTTCTCGAACCCGTAGGGTCCGCACGCTTAAGGTTTCGATGACAGTTTTATTATGAGTTTATGAGTTTTGATGTACCGAAGGAGTTCGGAGTCCCGAATGAGATCGGGGACATGACGAGGAGTCTCGAAATGGTCGAGACGTAAAGATCGATATATTGGACGACTATATTCGGACTTCGGAAAGGTTTCGAGTGATTCGGGTATTTTTCGGAGTACCGGAGAGTTACGGGAATTCGCCGGGGAGTATATGGGCCTTATTG